GGGTGACTTGGCTTGAGTACATTCTTTACCTATGCCTATAATATGTGATATCACACAACAATACATTGACTTTTAAGCAGGACTTTAAAAGTGCATTGCAGGGTTTTCATTAAATATTGTTGTATGAGGGGGGATTTTATTTACATGGGAATTTAACCAAAAAAAAAATCTTACATGTAGGTCATCAAAATTAGGCTGAAGAATTCTTTGTTGATGTCTGAAAATTCTTTCATTTCGGATGAAAAAAGAACACCTTGCCTTGTTGAATGAATAATGTAACAAGCTTACTGTGTTATATTTTTTCCTTCTAGAACTTCATACAGAGAGTCCATCTCCACCCTCCTCCATTTCTTCTCCACCAGCTGTTGCTAGTACCTCTACAGGTAAGACAAAAAGATAGATAAAAATAAAAAAAATTGAACAGTTGCACCATGGGCATCTGGCGTCTTATTTTTCCTTACAGTTTCAGCCTTGATTCAGATGGTCAGGTCATGATAGTAATGGAAAGGGTCACCAATTTAACCCTTAACACTTAACCCCTTGTTAATAATTTTCCTTACTGTCTGCCATTCAGTTCTTGTGAGGTTAGGTTGGAGAAATTGGTATTGAGTCAACTTATAGTCCCCTAATTGATTTTTTTTTTTTATACTTGTCACTTGTCTGCTTGATATTTTATTGATGTTGTGAGGAAAAATTCTCTCTTGGTCAGTTAAAGGGTTAAAGAGCTCATGATTGTCACATACATGTAAAGGGAACATTGTGGATGTTGGGGTTTAACTGGTTTACAAATGTTGCTGCAAGAGAATAGATTTGATGAAGAGGTGAATAAAATGAAAAGTTGCTTCAGGGTTGAATTAAAAATAGCTTACTGAACAGAAGTCTATGTATGGTTAACGTATATGCAAGTGGTACTGTAGTTGGAAGACTCTGCATGTTAGAGGGTTCTCTGATTTGGAATGCTTAATGAACATCTCATAGGTTACTTTCTCTCTCACTTTGTTACAACTTAAGTTTTACCAAATTTTGGTACAATCAGGATGGGTACCTTGTATCTTCAAAGAATATTCCTTTTTTTTTTCTTCATCAATTTCTTCATTGGTAGATTTCCTTGTCTGAAATTTTAAACTCTCTTGTCGTTAGGTTCAGTTGTGCCGTACAGCTCAGGCATCAATTACAGTGATCTTGCTGCAAACAGTGGTATATTTTTGTTGCAGGTAGGTATACATAGGGATGTTAAACCTCCTGTCACTCCCACAAATGAATATCAGGGATTGTGTTTACTTAAATTTGTGTAGTATTGAAAGCTCACTGAACTTGAATTTTTCTTGAAGAAAGTGCAGAGGAAAGTTGATTTGTAAATCATAGACTGAAGGATTTTGTCCAAGAAATTCTTAATTTCTACCACACATGAGATAGAATGGGTTTTCTTACCTGTGCTTATCATGTTTTATTCTTCATTAGGCATTGGATGGATTCCTGTTTGTTCTTTCCAGCGATGCAAAAGTCCTCTATGTTTCAGAGACTGTGTCTGTTCATCTTGGACTGTCACAGGTTGGTGTCTGACAGACACACCTATAGTCAAACAGAGAGGTAGGCAGGCAGACAGTCAGACAGACAAATTCTGACAGGTATAGCTTTAGTCAGACAAATAGATAGACAGACAGACTGACAGACTTGCTGAGAGGAAGACAGACAGGCTGTAAGATAGACTGATGGTGGGCTGAGAGGCAAGCAGACAGTAGGCTGAGAGACAGATGGGTAGAAGATAGACAGACATATAGGTTGACAGGTAGCGAGTCAAGAGACAGTCATTAAGGGGGCCAGTGTAAGTGACTCCTGCTAGATTGCTACATTCTGCTAGCTGTCTTTTATTCTTATGAAAAACAGGGAGAAGTTAATTTTGCTTTACTCTTACTCCATAAACCCTTTTTAGATGATAATTATTCCTATTAGCACACTAGTCTTCAAGGTTTGACATTGACAGGGAATCTAAAATGGATTATTTACTACCCTTGGGCGAATATCAATACACTGTCTAATTAAAGTGTAAATAGTCAAATAGATCAGTTGAAGGATGTTAAGTTACTTAGTTAAAATCTTGTATTCTCTCAACTTATTCACAAGGAATTGAATAGAAGTTAGAAGGGTAGAAGACATAAAAATGTCAAAATGTTTCTTAACTTAAAAGTGTGCATCTTTTCCCTTTCCTTCTTCAGGTTGAACTGACAGGAAGCAGCATGTTTGGCTACATTCACCCAGAGGATCAACAGGATCTTGTCAATGTGTTGCAAAATGCAAAGGAAGAATTGGAAAGCAATGGAAACTGTACGCCGTCATCATCAGGGAGATACACAGATGATATTCCTTTCTTTGGAAACCAGCCAGGTAAGAAGAGCAAACATCATGGTGTGTTAATCAAAGGAGTCTTAAAAATCAAAAACCAATATTGATGTGACAGCCAGTTAAAATGAAGAGTTAATAACATTCACATGTAGCCAATGAGAAATACATTGTATTTAATGAATGGCTATCCTATCAATATTGGAGAAATTCAATTCACTATGTTTGTTCAAAGTGTTGTTCAAGTTTGGCAACTGATCGGTTAAGAAGATGGTTTTTGAGGCCATTTTTTAGAGCTTCATGAAGCAAATCCATCATTATCCTAGATTAGTTTTGACAGTGAATTAAGAATCACTCGTTAACCCTTTAATAGTGATGAAAATCTGATTTCTCTGTACATTATCACTACTAAATCATATATGAATATTTTGAGAATACATGAAATGATCATCCACTCAAGAAGCCCTTGATTGTTAAACAAATTCTCCTTGTCAGTACCACAGGAAATGTATAGAGAACAGTATGGAGAATATGCATACTGATGTTAGGGTGTAAAGGGTTAGGGGGACTATTTATGATTCTGGTGTTTTTTTTTTGTTTTTTTTTTTGCATATGTGTGAACATTTCTTGGGTTGAGTCCACCATAAGTGTAGTTTATGTCTCCTCTGTAGGTATGGGTGACTGTGTATCCCTGAACAACTAAGTAAGTCTCTACTTGCATTTTTTTTCAGGTTTTCTTGATGATAGTGGACGGCCCAATGCAGAGAAACCAAAATCATTCTTCTTGCGAATGAAGTGCACTCTGGTCCGCAGAGGAGGTTCTTACACCAAATCATCTGGTTTCAAGGTTAGTTGGGCTGTATCTCAATCAGTTATTAATGGATGACATAAACATGTATACCTTTTCGTATTGTTGTTAGGAGTCTTTCAAAATCTGGTGCAATTTCCAAAGTAAACCACTTGTCTGAGTAGCTCTGAAACAGAGGGCCAGAAATACAGTCAGTCTGTTACAAAGTATGCAACCAACTAGAAACATATTCACTCCTCTGAGAGTGATTAGGATCTAATTTCTCCCCCAACATCACTGTTTAATAAACCATAAAAGGCCATGAGAATATTGGAAATGATTGCAAAATAAAGAAGCCCCTGACTATCAAACAAATTCCCCCAGTCAGTGCTACAGGAAATGTCTTAAAGATACAAATGTAACAGGGCTATGAATATGAATATTATGTTGGTGTGTAAAAAGGTTAAGGGGACTTTTTAAGACAACAACTAAAATTGAAATATCTGTTATATATTGTTGTTTTTATCAGTATTCATAAAATGATTTTCATGTCATTATTATAGAATACAGTGAACACTGTGACTTGATTCTGGGAATCACAATATTGTTCAAAACTTAATAGGCTAACTATCAATGACTGTAGATACATGAAAATCATATTTGTGAACTGTGGTTTAAGAAATGAATTTTTAAGCTATCAAAGAGATCACCAGTTCAAATCCTATACAGGCCTGAATTTTTCAGGCCCTATTTTCAACACTGCCTTGGTAGTACTCTCTGGTTCCACAGGTAGCGTGAAATGAATGTGAAAGTGATCCTCGCAGTAATGAACTTGACTTGTTATAGGCAGTAGTGAAAATAAGACTTGAAAAAAATTTAGGTCTGCACTGGGAAGATAGCTTTTAAATTTATTTCACGCTAACTACAGAACCAGAAAGTAATAATTATCACAATTTTAAGTGTCTGAGTTTATTTGTTTCTTGTGCTTCATTTGCTTTAGAACGCAATAGAATTTGATGAGTACTTCTGGTGTTTGTGATTTTCTGAATTTCCCAGTCACATGAATAAAATTAATTTCTTTTATTTATTTTTTTTTTACTGTGTGATGACTTTTGCAGGCACATGTGTCACATGACAAGTCTTAATATTGACTGTGAGATATTTATCTTCTGTAGGTTATTCACTGCATGGGAAGAATGAAAGCATATTCTGCCGGTGGCCTTCCTGGGCCCAAGTATGCATTTGTGGCAATTGGACAACCACTGCCTACAATGAACATCAATGAGTTACCACTGGAGTGTAACATGTTTGTGAGCAGAGTAAACATGGATCTCAGAATTGTTTACTGTGAGGGAAGGTATGTAAGGGAGGTTATGTTATGTTGAATGACATCGCTGCATGTACTTCCATTGTGATGTGTCATTGCGAAAACCTAGGGAATGATGAATCTTTTCATATTGGTTCAGACAGCCTTTACACAAATTTTATAAAAGAAATAATAAAGATTCTTTGTTTACACTCTCTGATAACTGAGTCCAAAGTTATCTACCTTTTTTTTTTTTTAGCAATTTTGATATACAACTACAGTTAACTTAAAGTAGAAAAAAGGTCTAGATGGAGTAGGGAGTATAATTAAAAACTCTGTCCTAAATTGGCAAATTGTACTAAATGATATGTTGTTGTTGTTTTTTTTTTTGTCTTCTTCTTCTTCATCTTGTAGAATTCACAAGTTTATGGACTATTTTGCCCGAGATATTGTGGGGATATCAGCATATGATTTCTACCATGGCAATGATATTGCTATTATCCAGTCACACCACGCAAAATGTAAGGAGTAACTTTTAAACCTCTCTTTGCATTAAAATTGCTAAGTTAGCTGACAGGTATTTTAGAATCGAAAAACTTATCAGCTGTTGATTGGCGTCCTGGTTAAAAAAATAATAAATAAGAAGAATAGAAAAAAGGGAAAAAAAAAAAACCTTTATCAAAGAAACCTGTTAGGTTTTTCAGCCTGTCCCCTCTGCTAACTATGTTTACAAGATTTTATTCTAATTAACAGCAACATAGATGACCCTAAAGCCACCAAAGAATAATGATTTTTTTAACCGTTTCACTCCTCAAGATCCCATTAGTAATTCTCCTTACTGTCTGTCATACAATTCTTATGAGGATACTTGTGAGAATTTCGTATTGGATCAACAGATAATTCCTTAATTCGTATTTTCTTTACTTGCACCACTTGTCTCCTTGTTATTGTATTTTTTTTTTGTATGAAGGAATTCTGTCTTCGTCACTTATGGGAGTTAAAGCGTCACCTTTCTTAGGCATTGATTGTAATTACTGAAACAGTTAATTGCTTTCTCAACAGTCCTAACAAAAGGTCAAGTTCTTACCAAGTACTATCGCTGGATGAACAAAAATGGCGGCTGGGTTTGGATGCAAACCAAAGCTTCTCTTATTCCCCATCCAACAAACCCAGAACTCAAACAAATGCTCTGTCTGAACTACATTGTGAGGTAAATACTTCATACATGAACATGAACTCTCAAAACTTAAATGAGTGTGTGAACATGTGCAAAAAATGAAGCCTTACTTAGGTAGCAATCTAGTGATATGGTATGGCAGTTTTTAATATTTTTGAGGGAACTGGGCACTAGGAATGTGGCTGACATACTTGGGTCTGGGTTCAAACGTTGGCCTGGTGCATCTACTCAGACTATTGTATGGTGCTCTTAGGAAAAACTCTCTACAATTATGGCACCTCTCTTTAATTAATAGTTCAAATGGTTATGATTGGTGTAGAGTATGGGTGTTGCTCTATCAAGGAACTGTGACTTTATCAGGAAGTCCGTTTGTTTTTACTTTGAGTATTGGAGCACTCTTTGATCGAGTGTCACAATACTAGGGCGCGGGTAAACGCGGACGATCAATCCGTGATTGATTTTAGTTTTGCATCTGATTGGTTGGGAAAGTGGCGCGAGTTTTCTGGACCAATCACGGAACAAAAAAAGAAAAACCAATGGAATCCCAGATTACTTGTGGGCCATCGTAATTACTTTGGTTTTTGGTTTTACGACACACAACTAACAAAGGGCTCCAACTAATAACTAGTTTAACTTTTTAACTCCTAAGATTTAATTGATAACTCTCCCTACTAGCTGCTACACATTTTCTTGTAAATTAGTTGTGAGAATTTGGTATTAGATCAAGATAACAACAACTACCTGATAAGATTCGAGTAATCTCATCATCTGTTTGCTAGGTAATGTATGGTATTTATGAAGAGTTACATCTTAATTACTTGTGGGAGTTAAAGGGTTAAAGCGTTGCTGATTTATGTTTGTCTTTGATAGTGATGTGGAACACCGCGGTGTTGTGCTTGGAATGGCGCAGTTGGAGGACAAACCACCTCTCACTCATGCTTATATCACTGAAGTGGAAAATGAGTCAGATACGACTGGCGAGCTGAAAGATGCACAATACGACGATCAAGTCATGATTTATCCAAAGTGGCATGAAACATGTAAGTATTAGTATCAGTAACAGCAGCTGCTTATGACTCAGTCACACAGTCATAACGCTTTTTTCAGTCAGATGCACATGTCCGTACCCGAAACTGTTGACTAGACTTTCCCGAGCATGTGAACTCTAAGAGATAAATGGTGTCAAATCAAAGAATACCTTCCTATTGATATTTTCCTTTCTTCTTATCACCTTTCTGCTCGAAAATGTGGTGCTGTTGTGATGAGAGATTCCTTTGGATCTTTCCTGGTAGTGAAAGGGTTAATTAGAATTATCCAATGCCTCGAGTTCTTCTTTAGGGCACAAAGAGAAAGAAATTTTTTGCCTTTAAACCCAAAATCTTGGGGTTCGATTGTCAAAAACGCAAGGATATGTAAAGGATTCAGTGTTAAGTTTAGAACGCTTTTCCGTTTCACCAGTACTGCATCTATGTTTAGATTGCTGTCAGAGGGTGAAGCTACGTTGCTTTCCTCGTCACTTGCTACACACGCTCACGAAAACGCACGCGGTCACACGCACACACTTACACAAAACTTCACCTACATGTATTCGGCTACTTTTGGTTGCTTGTGTGGGAAAGATTTTCCAGTTGTAACCTGATATAGCTTATTTAACTCTCAATTATCTTCTTTTTAGCTGACAATCTTGTTCCAAAACCCACATTGATTGACACCATCGCCCTCGACCGGACGGGTTATCCCAAAACCACGTCAGCTGATCTCACTGGGTTTGATAATGAAGTATTCACCACCTCAGCTGAACCATGGGGTCAAGGTACCTCCAACACCTGGAGTAACCACCACACAATGTCTAGGGGCAACAGTATTCCCGGAGATGGGGGGTCGACTAGTACCTTGGAAGAAGACGTCGAAGACTGGGCCAAAATGATCCGAGCTGAGCTGTCAGAGTTAGATCAAAACATCGTTAATTACGTGGCAACTGGAACTGATATCCCTCAGCCGGACGCAAGCCTTGAATCTTTACTACTGAATCGTGGCCTGGACGGATTGCCGTCTAATGGTACGATCCAACATTTGGTCACACCAAAGATTGAAGAAATTACAATGGATAGTGATGATTTTTCGCTGTCCTCAGTACCTGGTGTAAACACTCAGACTATGCCTCCTGTCAGTATGCCATCACGATCGTTTGAAAACTTGCCTATAGATGATTTCGCCCGTGACACCAAACCTAACTTAATTCCCATGGAGCTTGAAGGTGCCATGAGTGCAGTGAGTGGGTCAAAGCCTCGCGGCAGCAACAACCCTTGCAGATTTGGCAATGCAAATTCTTCTGGGGAGAGGAGATTCCAACCTAAGGCGCCGCCCGCATTTAGTCATCCGAACAATGCTACTCCTTCGAGTACTCCTATGATGAATGTAACATCACAAACGCAAAGTATCCCCACTGCAAGAGCTCCAAACACCATCACGACAACGCAGGGAAGAAATACTACAGGAAGGGTTCCACAACCTCCAAGAGACGACCTGGCACTAACAGGCAGCGCAACGTTTAGAGTTCCAACTGACGCTTCACGATTTTCAAATCCAAATGATGGAAAGATGCAGTTCTTCCAACAACTAAAAGAAGTAGCTCCTCAAGAATTGAACATCACGGACCAAATGATGGTTGATCTCATCGATGAACTGATGGCCGATAGAGACCAAAGTAGAGACAACAGGTTAGCAGCACTTGTACAGCAAGGAGGCTATGCCCAGGTGGAGCAGATGGCTGTGATCAAACAAGAAGTGGTAACTCCCACGTTACCAGAACCATCAAGTTCATTTCCAAGTTTTTCGGACAGCATCGCAACACAGAGTAGTCAACCTCGTGTTGTTAACAGTTCTTTACCTTACACATCTTCAGACACTCTCAGCCGGCTTCCAGGAGGTCAGAATACATTAGTTACTCAGCCAAGAGCTCCACAAAATGGAACTGTTCACAACCAAGCCCTCCCGATGAGATATCAAAACGGAAATTCTCATACTCAGCTTGTAAACCAGGGGGATAACAACATGAACTTTTTGAACTGTTTACCAAATGAAAGTGTGACCAGCACGCAAACTGGAACATCGACAACGAGTAACAACATGTGGAACACCAACTCTGGTTTTAAGCCGAATCCTATGCAACAAGGAATACGAAACTTGTTACAAAGCAACAACAGTGCACCGCCCATGCAAACCACAAACGTGAATTCGCAGCTAAATGTTGGCGTATTTCCTCAGCAGCCCGACATGACTTTCTTGTCGCAGCAGAATGTGAACAGCATGATGCCTGAGAACGGCACTAGAAATGTACTAAGTAACAGTGTGATAACTCCGTTGGACCTGCAAGAGTTGAGCTCTCTGATCCAGTCCGCCACCCATCCAGCTCAGAATTATCCGAACAGCAATGGTGGCTCCATACCACAGCATTATCATAAATTATGACAATCGTAGGAGCAACTCTCTCAAGGCCAGTTGTAAACAAGGTGCTTGCCTACGGTAGTGTTGGCCCATGTCTTCCAGGTGTAAGCTAGTACAATAATGTGCTTCAGTACAAATGATCAGTGAAGAGTATCCTTTTCACTATTGTGCTTCTGGTTTTATCAATGTACAAATCTTCATGCATAGAAAAGTATTCGCAGATTGGTGGCAGAATTCCTCGGGTCATTCCATTTTTTTTTTCGAATATGTACATAAGTATAAATTTATAAAGTAGTGTTTTCATTAGCATCCAAAAGGTGTCAAAGCAGAATTTGAGTTTTTCTCTTGGACAGATAACGCGTAGAAAAGAAACGAGCTCTTTTATCTCTGTATATATATACGTTTCTGTTAATAATTATTAGCAGTAAGGTGCACAACAAAATAGAAATTTAATAGCCCCGTATCAAATAATAAAACGTATCAATACCAGTGTAAGGTTATATGTTTACGTACATGTATTTAGTCTCTTCAAGGTACCTTAAAGTCTTTTTATGTATGGTTAGGGGTCTGAAACAATTGGCTTTTTTATTTGAATTTGTTTGAGCATTTGTTAGGGTGTTTGTGTTACATTTTTGGTCAGAAACTTCGTGAGCTTGAAGCAAAATTTAAAAGATAATGCATGATGCTGTTTTGCTTGCTCTACATTAGAGTTAAATAATTACTACACCTTCTGAAAACATATATTCTCTAAAATTTACTTTCCAAATCCTGGCGGTGATCTGGTTCTCAATGCAAGATACAGCAGCAGTGGTATTGTTTTGATTTTAATCAAATCAATACTTGGTGGAATTACACATTTCAGCTTTGTTCAAGCCAGTTAGCGAGGTGACTCTTTTTATTAATCATAGAGCATTATTGATATTTTTTAAGTGTAGGAAGTTGCTTAATTAATTTGCTAAAATGCTGAGTAATGCTTTACCTTTTCTTGTTTGCAAAGAGTGGCGAGGATTAACATCACAATTATTGTTTTTCTCCAATTGTTCAAACCCAGCTATGACAAAGATTAGCTTGAATAATCTGATAAAAATACAAGATGAGTGAATCTTAGTTCGTTTGCGTGATCATTGACAAAGCTCAAAATTTCGTAAGTGCTTAAAGAAAATGTCAAGAGGTTAAATAATTGTGAAGTCATTTCTTGAGAGCTCATTGCAGTACAAATGGCCTCATAAAGGTAATCGAAATATTGGAATGAAATTACTTTTAGATAAGTCTCTTGAACCGAAGATAGCTGCTTTTTTTACAAAGAGAAACTTACCCCTTGGAAAATTACTTATGCTACAAATGTTCATTGTTCCTTAGAGCAGTTATGCTAGGGCATGCTTTATATCCTTAACGGTGGCTTGACAGGATTTGCTACAAGTAGGCGTTATTTTCATAAAATAATTTTCATGAGTTTACGAAGCTAGAAACAAAAATTTTAACGGAGTATCATGCAGTAGTAGATTCCACGAAGTGAGACGTGTAATGTCGTGTGATAATATTGTTATGCACACTCCGCAGACTTGCATATTTACTTATTTACTTAATACATTTAGGCTAACAACCGCAGAGAATATTTAGCGCCAATGTTGTGTAACATTCGCCTGGCAGGCCAGCTCACTGGTATGGCTCCACCCTAGCGTGTAAGGTCTAGGTACAAGAGTAGTGTAAAACTTTCCGTAGTCAATTTTCTATCACTTCTGTATTCTTTGTTTTTGTTTTGGCGAGCGTCAAAGCTCCCCTCAAGTGTTTTTCATCATATATTAATACTTTGCGAGTCAATTCCATTAGTGTTGGATTTTGCCTTCCTAGTTAGATATGAAAGCGGTAATCGTGTTCCCTAGAGGTACATAGAAATGACGGTTCTTCGCACAAGTCGTTTATAATTCACCCAGGAACTCCAATGGGAATGTAGTCACAGTATGCAGGATAAATTATTTCACCTAATCTCTTTAGGCGAGTCCCTTTCCATTGAAACTTAGTCTAACCATTACCTCCAATTTTTATCTCAGTTAATCTCCCAAGTATTAAAATTCACTCGACCTGTTTTGATTCGGCTCTTTTAGAACCGATTGCTAGGTGCGTGGGAAGAGTACTTTCCCAGTTGCACTTAACACTGACAACTCCTTCTACCTTCCTTGTAAAAGTTGTGGGAGGCTATGGGTTACCCCTGAGAAGAAATTGCCTTTACTTACCCATCCCTCCCGTCTATTACTGTCTTTTTCTAGGATGTGTGTATGTGTGTTTGTGTCAGGCAGAGAAGAACACTAATGGAATTAACTTTGTTGGAATATAACAAGTATAATAATCCAATTCGTACATTATTATTCGTGGGAAAGCATATTTTCCATTAAGACCACTGCTTTATGAGCAATAAACTGTAAAGATAACTAACAGATGTGGCTGGTTGTCGTTTTTCGCAATCGTAATTCTTGTAAGTATTTTCCAGAGACGTTTCCTTGAAAATTGATTGTTCAGAGACCACTTCAAGTAAAATTTGCAGCCTCCGAGGAGACAAGCCTTTGCCTTTGGTGTAATCAACCCTCTCTTTTGGGCTAACGGAGCTCCCGATAACTTCCGAAATGCACCGAAGGCGTCGCCCCGACTTCCCAAGTGCCGAAGATATACCGAAGCCTCTCGAAGATTGCATATATACTTTTCAGTGTGAAGATTTAATTACAAGAGACACCATAACATTGTTGGATTTTCGCATAGTTTTGTATAAAATTACGAAAAAAGCTGATAAAAGTTTGATTACTTGTTAACTTGTTTTTACCCACCATGATACCGTGATCTCGCGGTTAGTAAGGGTCTGGGTTGAGGTAACAAATTCCCGCCCTTTTCGCGCTGGACGTCGAGTGTCATACTTTGCAACATGGTGACCATCTGCTCGACCTGAGAAGAAATGAAATAGCAATTAGTGGTCCACTGACATAGAAAGCGAAGATTATGCAAGGTAGGAAGTTAAGGATAGGGTTTAGAGGGTTCCAGCTTCCCCACTTTTATCAAAAGTGGTCAAAGAGACCAGAGGTATTAGGGAGCTAACAAAAACTGCAACGACCAAACTTTTATAATTTGATTGGTTTTTAAAAATTGTTAAAACAATGTCTTGGTCATTGGATTCAGAGTACTTGAGAGTGCGGCGGTGAAGTTTGATTCAGTGGTTTTGCCTCGTTTACACCTCTTAGTATTCATCAAAATGATTGTTACCTTTTGCAAAGCATAGCATTCATCATGCAATGAAAATGAATTTGTTGTTTATTTGAGTATCGATCTTTTCGATACTCTCGTGCATTTGACATCCACTGGTCAAGAAATATTTCTTTCGAAGATGATCGAGTACATTATGACTTACTGACTTCAATGCCAAGAAATATATAAAATTTGAAATTTCTTCTCCTTTGTTCTGCTACAAACACGAGTATTTTTCTCAAGATACTCAAGATACATTTTGATTTGTTTAATTGTGATAGCGTGACGGCTCAAGTTATGACTACCGCTTC